GCCCTAGCAACTATAGGGCCGGAACCAATAGTACCAATCCCCTTTGGCTACGGTCGGTCACTGGTACGTAGATACTTCAATAATTTACACGCTCAGCTTTGGAAAAATTTAGTAGACTGTAGACAAGCTATGGAGGCCCTACCTGAAATAAACAGTTGTCTAACCGAGGTTCTAATGAGAGTGAACAAGCCACAGATCAGGATCACAGGATGTTATCACAGGACATGGCTCTTTTAACAAACATTTGTTCACTATAGGCAGGAAGAAACGGCGGCTCGCGTGTTGCTGACATGTCCAGAAGTCGCTTCATATAGGGCTAAACATCTCGGCACGCCGGGATCGCTCCCCGAAGTTGCTTGCAACATCAAGGGAATGCTGAGCTTCTTCGGGGAGATATCATGGCTTGAATAAGCATATTATTCCTGCCCACACGCAAAATACGCGCTTAGACGTGAAGTTGCGGAAAACAGCCCGTCGTAAACTACACTAAACTAAACTAATGGTAAACATCAACTGATGCAGGTCCGTAGGGTTATCTCTCAATATTCTGTCACTTTGCCTTCGCAAAATGGAACACCCACATAAAAGGCATACACTAGGGTGGCCTTGGTGACTTGGTCCAGATTGTTGGTCATCAATGCTAGATATTTCTTGTAAACTATGATTTACACTTATCATTGCTAGATCTCTGCATGCTTCACAGATATAGTCATCTTCGGTAATCTGAAAAATAAAAGTAGGTACTTGTTATTAGGATGGTGTCATCCGTACATAGATCTATGCAAACAATTGATTGTAATCTATTGTGATTAAAACTACTTTTACGGATTTTATCGCGTTTATTTTTACTTTTTATTTACTTTTATTTTTAATTCCCGACGTTTCGGGCGCTTTCCAGCACCCGAAAGTCACGGACATGTGTGGAAAGCGCCCGAAACGTCGGGAATTAAAAATAAAAGTAAATAAAAAGTAAAAATAAACGCGATAAAATCCGTAAAAGTAGTTTTAATCATGTATAGTGTTCGCGTAAATATAAGAAATCATTATGTAATCTATTGTGTTTGGTTATGGCAACAGACGAGAGGTTAAATGTTGAGTTAAAGTGTCATCCATTGTTCATCATATTAATTTATGAGGCAATCATATTATGTAAGTATAATGGATGCAAACTATTTTTACAACAATGGAGAAGATAACCATTTTTTGTTTTATATGCCAAAAAAATCTACAAAAAATTACGAGAATAACCGTGTTCCAAATTTTTTTCTATCTTCAAAACTGACCGAGATATAAAGGCGCAAAGTTAACTTTTTCGGTCTAATGTAAGCCATACACGCTACAGTCTACCGGAGAGGTGATCTGTGCAGGTATGCCTGCGCAGGTCAATCGAACATTGGTAGCGTGTATGGGGACGTTCCGGTGTACCGCACACGCACAGGAACACCGTACGGTGTCCCTAGAAAGAATTGATTTTCGATTTTGCTCCGGTCGCCTGCGCAGGTAAAAAAAACTGCACAGGTCCATTGCCATACACGCTCCGGTCTACCTGCGCAGGTATACCTGCACAGGTAGACCTCTCCGGTGCACCGCAGCGTGTATGGCCGGCATAAGCCGCGGGCCAAGAGCGACAACGTTGATGACGTCACGATTTCCATCTTCGTGCGAGAGACCCGACGCCAGTGTTGCCATATATACAGATTTCCCCGTATTTATACAGATTTTCGGTGTGTGATACAGATTAGCACTGGGTACAGATTTTTATACAGAGTTTTCTAACTCTATTGATTGGATTACCATAATATTCAACTTAAAATAGAATGAAGCAAAATAAGTGACTAGATACCGCGTTACACACATTCATGATTCTATTCTTTATGGTTAATTTATTTTTTCACAACGTAATTAGTTAGTATGGCAGAATTACAAGTGTATTACAAAATATGTATACAAGGTGTAAGTGTAAACACCGTTGTCACTAAAACCATAGGTAGTTGGCTTTAATATAAAAATATTTATCCGAATTCTAAAAAAACACCTATTTTCTTTCATAAAATTTAAGAAGTTTCTGTCCGAAACCGTCCGTAAATTCATGGATACCCTATGCGCCCGGGTGACGTAATCACTGTAAAGATCACCGCCCGCGCTAGCTACCTACACTATATTCCAATAAAAACACAATAGGTACACATAACCTGTGATGTAACTTTTCCTTCATACTTTCACCCTGGCTTAGGACAGGCAAAATTGAGGAATTAAGGAAAAGTTGTTATTTTACTAAAAAAAATATTGTTATATTTCATTGAATTTACGTTCTATAAGTGAAACCAAACCACTGGTTTCAAGAATAATGGTGTTTACACTAACGCCCTGTGTATAAAATATGTATGACTGAAAATAATAAAGTAATTATATGTTCATTTGGCAAATATTTGAGTTTTAATATGTTGTTTGCTTAAATTAATGTTTTCAATTTTGCTATATAAAAATTTAGTGTATAGTGTATATTTTATACGTGGTAGAGCCACGTTGCAGCTATATTATGGTTGCAGCACTGCAACCATAATAGCTGACGCTCGACCGGGGAAGGACCACGCTCTCACAGAATACCAGCGTAAAATGTACTACTAAACAAACACTACTAAACAAACTAAATTCCAAGAATATATAGAAAATACGACATATTTTTTTAAATAATCTTATGCCACTTTTGTTTAAATGATATTTATAATAATTATATTATTTTATCGTAAACGAGATGCAACAAGATGAAGTGAAAATGATTTATAACTACGAAACTGAAATAATTATAAACTGGTCACACTAAGTGACTTTCAGATCGATATCCATTTGATTACAACAAAGAGATTTAAATATATATACTTACTAATACCTACCTATTTAAATGTCTTTGGATTACAATCAATTATGTCCCCAAAAAAGTAGTGATTTTTATTCCGGCTTTTATTTGATAAAATGCAATAATTTTTTTGATTACGTCCTATAACAATTATAACTCAAGACGCTTCAAAATATTTGACATATTATTTCGCCATTGTCCTTTCTAGGTTTTACTTAAATGTCGATAATTTCCAAACTGCATGGGATAGATTTTTTTCTGTTTTTTTCATGATGGTTACAATCAATCCTGTCACTGCGTTTCGGCTTGAGTTCTGGGCATCCTGTAACTGTATTCAAGCTAATAAAGGTTAATATTTATGGAGTGTAGATCGGAACTTTGAAAGCCTTGGACTCAATTAGAAAGCATACTATAAAATTAAAAACATATGTTATTGGTGACCTGAATCTGGTTAAAACACCGTCAGTCACCACAATCACCAGTCTCGAACACAAGCACAAAGTAACCAGTCTTTCAGTTTTCTACAGGATACATTTCGGAGAGTGTGCGAAGGAACTGCAACTTCTCCCTTTCCCATCGAACAACAACTTCTTTGTTGACTTATCACGCATCCGAATAAAACGATTTGGAATAAAACTAATTTTAAAGCAATGTAGTGGAATAATTTGTCATCAATTATCAGTATTTGGTTATTATGTGGGTTTTTTCAAGGCTAGATTGAATAGACTTTAGTGAAGCTATGTCAGCGCGTTTTACCATCTTCACCTGCATCACCACATGCCACACAGTTGTCAAGCACTGGCTTAGAATAGTTAAAAAATTTCAAAACTGCGCGCGTGGAATAATTTGCGAGCATCTGTTTTTCCATCCGATAACAATGTGAGTGATTTCAAGTAAAGAGTGAATACTTAGGCTTTTGTTAAGCTAAATCAGTGCACTACAACATCTTCGGCTGCATCACGACATGCCATCAGATGTGATAGTAATCTGCATTGGACTGGTGTAAGTCTACTGGAACTCAAAATGACACGGTTTGTGCAACGCGTCGATCAGCTCGAAACAAACGATAAACAACCTCGAAATAAACGATAGACATAAGACTAATTTTCCGGAGACTAAAAAACAAATGTCAAACTCGAAAATAGTTAAAAATAATTAAGCCATATCGTCCAGTCATTTATGAGTTTTTTTTGAAAACATACTATTTTTTACCAAAGGCTATCGGATAGCAACGATTAAAAAAATTACTTTTTTATAATAATTCGTAGGTATTTCAAAACTTAAATAAAAGCATCATTGTTGTTTAATATTGTTCCTCCTTAGTAATAACGTGGTTTTCTTCGCGTGTTAGTACGGTTTAACTGGATGTAATGAGAGTGGGTAGTGTGAACTTATTAGTCGACAGTAGCGCTTAACCTCACTTCGTTTCGAGGTATGTAATTATGCTTCTATCCTTAACTTAGCTTATTATGTTTCTACGGACAGTAGCTTACTGTAATGGCAGTGTGCCACTATGTGTTGTCAAGCGGTTATAATGCTTTAAGGGGGCGAAATGAGCTTCGGTTCATAAACAAAATGGAAGCTGTTAAATAAGTTTGTTCTAGCATTGTTTACTATCGAAAACGACGCAGAGAAAGGAAACAAACATAAGATTTATCTTTTTTTGCATAATGGCGGCTTGTTACGAACTGAACAACCAAGTGTGTAGAGTCTAGATCTGGACCACCTTGGAAGCGGGCCGCTGATTCCGTTCAATAGCCGTGGTTAAAATGGCAGATGCTTTGTCACCTATAAAATCAAATATGGATTGCCTAAATTCCAGTAAAAAAGGTTTCCGGTTCTTTTTACTCACCTTACAAAACACAGCAGCACTTGACTAATAGCATTTTATGTTTAGTCGGAGTAATCAATGAAAAAGTTGTGCTACGCGTAACAAACCTTACAAAAATTATTTAATAAAATACAAATAAACTATTAAAATTTGTCAAAAGTAGCAACCACAAATCTTATTTCAATCTTCGGAATAAAAAAGCCTAAATTAGCTAAATGTCTTTAACATTATACACTTGTAATATAATCTCAAGACATCATTACCAAAATGCCTTCAAATTGCTAAAAAAATATTCATCACTTTTCTTCATAATCACTCTTTTTTCTTTCTGTTAAGCTCAACTTCTTTTTTCTTTCCTTTAAACTCAACTTCTTTTAATATCGAATCTCTTGTTTTCAAAAACATTTTTAGAAGTCCAGTCATTGGCGCTTCCATTATCAGGTAGAAAGGCAGTGCCAACATTACTGACAACACAACCACTCCGAAATAGAGGACAAGCTGAAATTATAATGAATAATTTATCAACTTTTTTTATATAATAAGGGTGACAATTTATACAAACTTAGTTTAATAACATTTTCGAACTTTGTCATACACAAAGTTCAAAAATGTTATTAAACTAAGTTTGTATAAAAAGGGTTATTATAATATTAAGGAATTTATGGATGATAATAACCCGTGGGAAGGGTGATCGCTACCAAGCTATTTCTAATTTGTCTTGTGTTGTTAATTGTAAACATGACTGTAAGCTATTATTGGGAAAAAAATAGTCCCGCTGGGTTTCTTGCTGGTTCTTCCCAGGATAGAGGTTTTTTTTGCGAACCATTGGTAAATTAAAAAAGTGACTTTCAATAAGTATTGTTATAATCTACATTAAATAAAAAAGTTTCTGTTTCTGTTACAAACAAGCACACAGTCCACTTGATGATAAGTGGATGCTGTAGTCCATAGACATCTACATCTATCTTCGATTAAGAATCAAAATTAAGATGCGTTGTCACCCCTTGAGGACTAAGATGAAAAGCCCCGTTCTCTTGCATAAAATAATTCACTTCCCCTCTTCTCGTGAGTGTCGTGAGAGGCGTCTATGTGAAACGCCAAAAACATCTAATAGTAATATCGATATAACCTTTCTGTCAAATATCACGATTAAGGCATCAATTTCCGATAGTTAACGAGGCCTCTCTCCAGCATTCACGCAGCATATAGCATGCAGCCAGCAGCAGCAGCATGGCGGCGTATGATAAACCACTGCCCAACATCATTCCTTGCGAGTAGTAAAAGTTGACAGCAGGAACTGGAACAGGAAATGGAGAGCAACATCTTCTTTCTATATAAAAACTGCAGGTGCACCCGCCTGCCGAGCGTGGTAACTATGGGAAGTATTCTATGAGGCAATGGGACACCTATATTCAGCAGTACAACAACAGAACAAAAAAATGACCGGGACAAAATAGCAAATTTTCACTTACCATATTATATAACGACACGAGACTGAGTTGTGTTCGTATGCCAAGAAGCACGTGTATAAAGTTCATATGCACCAAGTAGACGCTATAGGAAAGTCTGCTGGGCACCAACCAGCCATCCCATTCAAAAAATCTGCAGTAACTTTCTGAAACAATAAATAATATATTAATTTTTTATATAAGATAGGGTGACAAACGACCACACAGTCCACCTGATGGTAAGTGGTTGCTGTGGCCCATAGACATCTACATCTATCCGAATACGAATCAAAATCCAGATGCGTTGTCATCCGTGAGGACTTAGGTGGAATGCCTCATTTCCAGTAAAAAGGGTCCCCGGTTCTCTACACTCACCATACGAAACACAGTAAGATTAAGCTACTATTTGACGCTGGTATTCTGTGAGAGCGTGGTCCTTCCCCGGTCGAGCCGACCCATTCGTGCTACAACTATAAAATAAAAAATAAATACAAAAGCAACGGTTATATCATATAATTAATACCCGTACTGTGTCCACGTTTCCTATCATTTCTAATAAAGTATTATAGCAGGGTAATCGGCTCAGAGTTCATTGCGCTGGCCCAATGTGCGTTAGCAAATTTTATAAACAAATATAGTTAATATTCTATTATAAACTAGCGAATCGCCCCTTAGGTAGAATATATTAATGCGGCGTTATTTAGATTTTAGTTAATCAAAAACATTTAGTTAAAAAAAATTGTTTCGAAAAATATCTCCTAGATTTTCGGGTAAATTGTTCCCAATCTCTTCGTGAAGATTCATTATTAGCGGTTCAGCCATTTCGACGATTAGCCCGGACAGCCGGACAAAACATATATAAATAGTTATTCACATCCTGAATGTCTTGGCATGCACATCAACTAGGTTAAGTTAAAATAACCATGTATTACAGACATATACATCAATTTCATTTGACGGATAAATTTTTGGCATCATGGATTCAACGCTATGTTTTCTTTTAACCGCGAACTTAGTAAAAAAACAGCACTCAATATTGCAATTATCAGTTTTGTTGATGCTGACGGATATCGCACAGAGGTTTCTCGCGTACCTTGCTATTTAATGACGAAGGAGATACGCGATCTTACAGCTGTCTATTAATTATACAGTTCATAAATATAAGACAGTAGAAAAAACCAAAAGTCTATAAAAATCATGTCCCTTGTTAAACGAAACACAGCACATATTACATTAATGTGTGACTATCTCATTGGTGTAGTGGTAGTAAAGGCGGTTACTGATTATGAGGTTCTGGATTCGAATCCTGGGCCGGACCAAAATTTATTATTGGGTTTCTTGTCAAGAAATTCTCAGTATCAGCATAGAGTCGGAAGGTTGTCGGTGGTTCACCCCTGTGCCTCGGAAAGCACGTAAGGCCGTTAGTTCTGCGCCCGATCTCTTTCCAGTCGTGTCGGATAACCGTACCATTGAACTTTGAGGGTGAAGGAATTTATAGTGCACTTGAGCTTGCGCACTCATGTACTGATGGCTAATCTCCATTGAGACTGGCCGCTGTGATCGAAACTCGGTCAGGAGATTTATGACGCTGTGATATTCATGACTCTTCCGTGTAATAGAAAGTTCATTACCACTAAGCCTCATGGTTAGTGCCACCACTGCGAGGGCGACCAAGAATCCCATGACGACGCGGTGTGTTCCCGCGTACAACATGCGAGCAATGAGAGAAGCACGAGCTCCGTCATTGAAGAACGAGCGCCCCGTCAGGAACAGACAGCCAATAGCTGGTATTATAAGCCAGGCGAGTCCACCCCACTTCTGTAATTATATTATGTAAATCAAATAACAGTCATTTTTTACTATATACTAGCTATATATATATATATATATATATATATATATATATATATATATATATACATATGGTACCTGGTGCGTTGCCGCCACAGAAGTAATAATTGTAGAAAATATCATTTTAAATATGGAAAAGTTATATTGTTCAGTTAGGAATGATAATACATTCATTGAACTTGAATGATTTAATATAACTATTAAATAAAATTGTCGGTATGTTACGCGCGCCATCTACGGTAAGTTAATTACGCCTTAAACTTTGTCAATAAGTTGACAAAGTTTTACCGCAATTTTATAATCGGTAGGGTAGCTTTTAAAATACGAACAAACGAACATTAACTTTTAGTTATAAGATATATTGTAAAGTTTTTTGAACTCGTATGTTATGTAGAACTTTGTTAGTTTTAATTTTTTTTTGAATATTTAAGCAAAAACTGTTTCAACATCATTATCGTCATTACAGCCCTTCACAAGTCCACTGCTGAACATAGACCTCTTCAAGAAATGCAATAAGGCACGCTCCAGAGTCACCTGAATTCATCGATTTCCAACATATTTACCGGGTGGTACAAGGTTGCCGCTCGAGAACCTTTCTTCCCCATCGGTTGTTGGTTCTTCGAGCTATATGGCCAGCTCATTACCACTTATCTTGGCTATGTTGATTATTCTGGTTTTGCTGCGGTACCGTGAGAGGCGGCTATGGAAATCCGTAATTCATAATTCATAATTATTTATTTGCATAGAATGTAAGTAGATATCACAAGAGTATTATTAAAACATAAAAGTTCCTAAACATTGCAAATTTTGACTAAGTAGGTAAAACAATTTTTTTTTTTCAATTATTGACGACTTTAACTTATTAATGTAATATAAAAATGTCCAATTGATAATAAAATAAATGTCAAAACATTAATTATACTAAAAATAATGTCACTCAATCGTTTACAAATGTCAAAATATAAATGTTCATACGTAAAAACAGGAAAAATAACTAACTAATATAATGATTTCTTAAATTTACGCGAACACTACACATTGAATAAAACTATTATTTACGGATTTTATCGCGTTTAATTCAACTTTAATTTATTTTTATTATCCCGACGTTTCGGGTGCTTTACAGCACCCGTGGTCACGGGGGGACTGAGATGTTTGACGTCCCAATGTCATAGTTAGTCCTGCTACCTTCAGTTTTTGAATATTAATTTTTGGTCCGATTTACGCAAAATGAGCTTATAGTATCATGAAGTCTTGCAGTGGTATGCTTGGGTTTGGGTTTAATTTTGTAAATTATAGGATCCCAAGCAGCTGGCAGCACCCATCCATCTTCTCTATTGAAATTTGGATGTTTTTTAAGTTCACGTATCATCCTTGGTAGGAATCGATGTTCTTTTGCGATGATTTGTGGTTTATCAAATCTAATGTAATGGTGGGGACGATCTTGAATATGTTCGCAGACTGCAGACTTCCCGGAGCGTCGGTGCTTCACGTCAGCTATATGTTCCTTCACGCGGGTTTTAATAGATCTTTTTGTTTGACCTATGTAAGAGAGACCACATTCACAATCTAAGGTCAAACAAAAAGATCTATTAAAACCAGCGTGAAGGAACTATTAGGTAAAATATCAGGACTCATTTTCTGACCAGGAGTTCGTCTGGTCAGCTACCACCCTCCTGACTATTTCTACCGACAACGAGCAGTGCTTCCATGTTCTACTGTGTTCCAGTTTGAACGATATAGAGAGCCGTATATTTACAGGCTATGAGGCATTCCGTCTTAGTCCTCAGAGGTGACAACGCAAGAGTAATACTTTTGCTTGAAGTTGGTTGGGGCAATAGGTGTCAAATGACTCTACGCTCTGAACCGGTTGTCACCCTGTCGTGGCCGTGGGGCTTAGAGGCCGTAGCTGGGTCACTCACGGTAAACGAATAGGTGACCCAAGGTGAAGGGCCGGCCAAATGTAGCCAATCCGAGTGGGCTTTGCCTGCGGTGTGTGCTACTGGGTTGCGGCGTGAGGGGTGTCACCCCTCCCCTCCGCCTTCCCCTCCCATTCTCCTCTCCTCCCTTCTCCCTTCCTCCTCCCCTCACTCCTTACTTCTACCCTCCTCCCTTCCTCGTCCCCGCGGTGGATGGCACGTCTTGTGTTACTGATGGCCCTTACCTGAGAAAAAAATGAGGAGGAAAAGTTCTCCTTCGAGGAAGAGCTGCCATGAAGCGGCCGAAGCCGCGCCGGCGCCGCGGATGTATTTGATAGTGTTCTCAGGACCCTTCTAATATGAGCCTAAGGTGGGACCAGTTGGGATTTTAATCGTTGCGAGTCCGACGTAATTACTTTCCCATGTAAAATATGTGTCTGTAGACTACAGTAGCCCCTTTCCATCGAGTGGATTATAAGCTGGTTTATCATTTTCGTTTAAAAAAAAATCAATAAGATAACTATTACTTTCAACCGTAATATTTATGCTAAACTTAACTTGTATTTCGATAAATCCACATTTTTCTTCTGCCAATAGTAAACAAGAGTGCCGGTACCGAGGCCGATGACGTAACACGCCAAATTGTTGTGACCGAGGATGTGCAGGTAGTGGAAGGTCCTGTCGAACCATCGGCGGTATAATCTTAAAACATAAACAAGTGAATTAATAATATTAAAATCCATTATCCCTTACAGCATATCAAAAGTCTACAGCTGTACATAGACCTCCCACGTAGATTGCCTCATTGAGGGGATGTTTGTCATAGCTGCCACCGCAGTTTTTTAGTTTTGTTTAGTTTTTATCAGGAACATTCTACTGACCGTCTCCTAGTTCAGTTTCTCTCTGTCGCCTCTTACGACACCCACGGCTTGGTATGGGGTAGTGGATATTCTTAAACCACCACTACACTGATAACATTACCAATAAAAGTAAAAAGTAAAGTAAAGTTACAGCCTATATATGTCCCACTGCTGGGCACAGGCCTCCCCTCATTTCTAAGAGAGTTTAGGGCAAGGAAGTGTTCGCCGCGCTGCCCCAATGCGTGTTAGCAAACTTCACATGTCTTCGAAATTTTTTTTGTTATTCCTCAGACATACAGGTTTCCTCACGATGTTTTCCTTCACCGCCGAGAACGTGGTAAATCAGCACTAAAAATTGCAATTAACAATTTCATTGGTGCCGGCGGGGATCGAACCGCGGTTACTCGCGTTCTGTTATATTTACAGCGAGCGTTAACCATCTGAGCTACCACGGCTCTTAACATTACCAATACGCGAGTTCAAATAAATTTTAACAACACGCAACATGTGCTGTTATAATTCTATTGAGAATACAAGATCATGTTCATCAAATTATTTAATCATATATATCGTCGCTTGGTGTCGTAAGAGGCGAGAGAGGAATTTAACAGGAGATAGGCAACAGAATCTTCATGATAACGGCTCAAAATAAAAAATAAAAAAATCTGTTGTCAACCATCCTGCTGAGCGTGGCAACTATGACAGTTATGGAGGATATTTGAAGACTATGGTAAAATCTATGGGGAGGCCTATTTTGAGTAGTTTAAGAATGAAAAAATTAATAAATGCATACTTATATACACACACATACGTGCACTCACATACCCATACAGAAAGCTTAAAATGAAAATTTATATAAACCGCTTACTCGGGCGACATCAGAACCAACGCGTCCAAGTCCTGCAGCCACACGTGCAGAGCTGGCACTATCATCCCCACGAGCAATAACAGCGCCAGTGCGAACCATCTGCCACGTGACTCCGTTGATAAGTACACAAACATTCCTATTACAAAGAGTTGAGTGTCTGCTGCAACGTGCCTGGAAGGATCACGAACAAACGCTTATAAAAACATTCATTTATTTGTATAACTCAATGTATAAAAGTACATAAATAAACAAATTTTTGCTTTGAACCGTTCATTTTTTGGTATATGTATATTCAAGTGTTCATAGTAGAGTAACTAAAATTATGTTGGTACATTTTAGACTTACTACCCGCCACCACTCGCCTCGGTGGATCTATGAATGTGGCATTATTGAAATTTAAGATAATCATCAAAGACCATTTTATTTTATCAATTTTTAGTATTTGAATGGGCTACAAGTAATTATTCTGGGTTAGGATATTTGTCCTAGAAAAAGTTATTAATAAAATATATATATATATATATATATATATATATATATATATATATATATATATATATATATATATATAAAAGAACAAAAATAATCCATACATGAATTGCTGTTTCCTACGTAGTAAATCCGAATTAATAAATAAAAAGCCAAATTACTTACCAGGTCTGTACGGCGCACAGTCTATCGTCTGAATAATAGTTATTGAGGTAGAGGATATGTAGCCACCAATAACTCCGGCAGTCAGCCACCACGGTGTTGGTGACGTAAAGCTTCCATAGCGGACCAGAGCCCATGTGCCGAAGCCATGTGGCTGTGAAGGCGATCATCGCTGCGTAAGCTGGAGTCAATCTAAAAACATTATTATAGTGATGTGGTAGAGTCATGCTGATGATACATTATGGATCAAGCGCGAACAGGTCGGCTCTACCAGGGAAAGATCACGCTCTCACAGAATACCAGCGTAAAATAGCAACTAAATAACGTCGTCGTATTGACCTACCGTCGGGCGAGTAATGTTGTTGTCAATGTAGTGCTCTAATTTGCTTAATTTAAAATAATTAATTACCTTTAAAGTCATAAAAGTATGACAATCTAGAACATTGTATAGAATACTTGAACGTTAGTGAAGCAAAGTCAAAATAAATAACAAAAATTAAAAGTGTTAAAACAAAACTATCATCGATATCGGTCTACCGCGTAATATTTACTAAATGTTAACTTAACTCTGTTCGTGTTGCATATCCATTTGTTAAGAAACATTATGTTTACTTGTTGTTCTGCAATAATTACTGTTGTACATTGAACTTTTAAAGTTTAAATCTAGATTATTTGTAATAATTATAAAAATTGACAATAATTGTGTGTTGTGTTAACCATAAAACTGGTCAGTAGTGGTGACCAATAGTTTTGTGTTTATTGCCCTCCTCGGCTACTGGTAGTAAATTAGACGCTGCAACGTACATAAATTAATAAACGCGATATAAATAAGTCTATCTCAATCAACTCACCGTGGTCATTTGTGGAGCCTGTGGTCGCTACCTGCCGGCGGCAGATGGTATTATACGTGGCAAATGTGATGTAGCCTATCGTCGAGGCTGTCTCAACCTCTCTGAGAAGACGAAGATATCAGCTTCATGGATGTGCCCTGCTTGTAAAAATAAGGTTTCTCGCACTGGAGACCATTCTAACACACCAGTTAAGTGCCAAGAAGTTGGTGAATGTAGTCCTCTCCATAAAGATATCGATATATGTTTAGAAATTCATCTTTTTCGAAATGAGCTTAGTGCTATGAGGAATGAGCTGAATGAAGTCAGGGATAATATAACTATGCTAAAGGATACTTGCATGTAACAAAAACTTGGAGGAAATGGATTGCAGAGTCACCAAGTTGGAAAAACTATATGAAGAACGTCTGATTAAGTGCGACACTAAAATACTAGAGGACACGATTAGTGAACTTAGGGTCCAACTTCATGAGAGACATTAGGACCTTCTAGCTAATGGCCTGGAGATATCGGGGTTACCGGATCAAAAAGGTGAAAATCCTATCAATACCGTGGTGCTGTGCGCTAAAAAGATGGGTCTCGATATTGATCACCATGAGATAGTTCATGTGGAGCGTGTTGGTAGTTTGCGTACATCTTATTATAATAGCAATAGCACTTAAAACTCATGTCTACTGGACCCCGCAAGATTGTGGTGCGGGGGAATCGGCGTGTAGTTCGGGACGAGTTCCTACGTCGTGCGCGGGTGCGACGCAACATGACGAGTGATTCACTGGGGTGGCCCGGAGATCCGTGTCGGATTTACATTAATGAGCGGCTCACTCCCGTCAATAGGAAATTGTTTGGAAAGACACGTGAAGCAGCAAAAATGGCAAGTTGGCGCTACACATGGCCAAAGTGTGGTCAAATATTCGTAAGGAAGGAAGACGGAAAGCCCGTAACACGCATCGGATCTGATAGAGACCTAAGTCGTGTTTTCTGCTAACTCTGAGTTAGTTGTTTATAGTATAATGTTTACATGCTACCTTTGTTTTTGTTATTTTAATAATAGTGAGTGTTTGATTAGTTTTGGAAAGGTGATAATTTTTCCTTTAAATATGTGAATATTATGGCTAACATATTTGTATTATGTTATGACATTATGGACACAGTATGTTATGCCACATTTAACTGCCTTATTTGATAGTTAGGTCAATACACTTTGGCTTTTTTGCTAATTTTAAGTTAAAGGTTATGATTAATATATTACGTATATACCTAAGTATACGATTTTATATTATTGCCTTTGTAGTAAGTTATAGTGTTTTTTTCTTTAAATTTGTTAATATTCATAATATTTTTATACATTATAACATATTTGTATTAATTTTACAGACTCGGTATGTTATAGGTACCTCCTTTAACCTAAACTTATTGTTTAATAACCTATATAACTTCTTCTTATCTTGCAATAATAAGTTAAGGCCGAATACGACGCGAATGACCTTGCTCGTTTCGCAGCAAACCACGCGCCACCCGTACGCTTTGTTTATATAGACATGTATAATATAATCAAAGCCGTACGGGCTTTGATTATATTGTATTTGACTGAGCTAGCTCAGTATGCAGAGTAATGAACAACAAAGAGGGCATTGCTTACTTCTAAATTAAATCTTTCTTATTTATAATATTAGTTCCTATAGATTATAAATTCTGTACTTTATTCGTTATAAAATATTGTTCGAAAAGTTATTGAATTGATAACGGTTTTTTTTCTTAATTGGTTCATCGTACGTAAAGAACCTCACATAACTGAAAATGTTTGTTCTTGTGAGTCTTACAAGATGCCGTAATGCAAATTGCATAAATAATAAAGAAAAAAAAAACTAAAAAGTCGGTGATTGCCCCATAGTGGGGATAGGTACTGTGTATGTAAATTCTCACAAGACTACTCCGACCGGTCAATCGCTTCACATCCGAAGTATTTCGGTTTTTCTTAATTATGTTACTTAGCCCATGCTTTCGGACAATACATTGACTATGACATTATTTGCGGTCTCTGTGCTTGCACTACTCTGTACATTCTTTTCCGACTGGGTCTTGATATTTACATTTTTAGTGTTTCTCACTTGAAACTAGAAAAGTATAAATGGTCAGTTTAGCTAATGTAAATGAGTAAAAATGCAACCTATTAGGCAGCCTCAAACAATAAATTACCTTACAAAAATATAAATATTAACCTCAAAATACAACATTCGAGCAGAGTTCATGCGATAAACTCTCTTTGTTTTACCACTTAGGTAACATTTATTTCTTTTCCTACCCAAGTTTACATTTATAGTCACTTAAACGCGTATAAAACACTAAATTAACGATTTTCGCTACAACACATCGACTGTTGTTACCTTACGTCACACGTCGAAGCGCCTGGTAATTTATTACGGCAAACTTTTATCTGGCAATATACGATATTATTATTAGGTGTTCTTAATTAAAACGAATTATGTTAATAAATAATATTTTGTATCGAAAATAAAGACAGCAGGCACCTTCGGAATCACAATACAAACTTATAAAAGAATTTTTCCTAAATTAAAATTCACAGAGTTTTGGAAAAACATTCATTTTTAAATATCATTTCTTAACATTTTTTTATTTGTTGGTATAGTCATTTATTTTAAAATTTTAAAACTGCGGTCACCTTGTGAAGGAACCGAACAAACCTACAAAAAATGTTTTAACGCTTAGAATTACTTCACGTCAAAGTTGTAGTGAAGAGAAATACATTAAATTTCGCCAGTTCTCTTCGTATTCGGCCTTAATACACTTCAACATTTTTGCTAATTTTGAGTTAAAGTTTTACATACTTTGTTATATCGAAATTATATACTATCTTTGTGGTCTTAATAATAGTGAGTATTTGATTAGTTTAGTAAAATATTAATGCTTCTTATAAAAAAAAATTATATGGAGAACTAACTCACACTACAAGATTATATAAATTTTTTTGTGTTACACGTTATATCTTAAAAGTTTTATTTGGTAACTCAAATAGCCTCTTATTTGCAATTTTTAATGCTTGTATTCTTTTGTAGTAATACTAAAAAAAGCTTTCGTCTAGTCTAATGTGTGTTTGTGTGATTTCATAGAATAAATTATAGTGGTTATATCAATTTTCTGTCTTTTGCCAGTTAATAGCGGCGAGTGTACTGTACTCGTATTTGATATGTTTTTTTATTACATCTAGTTTCATATAAGTAGTGTTGCGTTAATGTATATTTATGTAATTATTTTTATTGTTAGTAACAATAAACATTCACTTTATTTTATTGTTCAAATTTTCAAATACTGATCGTAGTACCAAACGTAAACACCAGTGGCTCTGTTTCCAATGGCAGTGTTATATTTCAAATCTAGTCTAGAAATACCAGATGGTTATACCACCATCTATCAGAAGTCGTGAGTAGGTTTACCAATCTTAGTAGACGGATTTGCGGTAAAATTTAAATCACAATGCAGGATGTGGCTAAAAAAGCAGGACACAAGCGGTAAAAGTATTTTATAATGGAGGAAAATTTTGTCAGAAAAGTTTCGCTTTTATATCTTAACCGACTTAAAAATTAAGGTTCTATATTTAACGTGTACGTTTTTTATAATGTAACTTCAAAACCTATTCAAATGAGGAATCATTTTTAATAAACTATAGACTACTACAAAAAATAACATATAAATTTGAAGAAGCATTCCACCCCTAAATAGGAGCAAAATAGGGGTGAGGTTTTATTGTGTCTTTTAAGATGGAATTCTAGTTTATCATGTTTTGAGCTTGTCCACTCAAAAGTGGGAATAATAATACTAATAATAATACTTCATTTTCACCACTTGCATAACTATCATATTTAAAAATAACTATTTTATTATCTATACTCAGTTCACTAGGAAAGGTAGAACATCTGTGTCTGAACTAGATAAATATATTATTATTAGTATTTCAAATCACACTGTTCTTCCTTATTACATATTAACAGAATACCATAAGTATAACTTAAATAGAAGGTTTACAATAAATAAAATGTAAAAATCATAACAAAATGTGTTTTTGGTTAAAAAATGTTAAAATGTGTATTACAATGTATTTCTTTGTGTATAATATGTTGAATGCATCTGTGTGTAAGAGGGTGTGTAAGTAATATTAACTTGTAGTAAGTAATGCTTCACTTTCCTGATAGTTGAAAAAGTTCAAATAATTTAATTAAAGAAGATATGGTCCAAGGTGATATATTTATTACGAAAGAATGACTAGAAATAGGTTTACTTTAGCAAACTTTATCTATTCTTCTTTTCGATATCAAGAAATCTTTATCATAAGATAAATACGAATGTTGTTTCAACACTGTAAAAGTTACAGCCTATATACATTAGGGGAGGCCTGTGCCCAGCAGTGGGATGTCAGAAATGTCTGAGAGAGTTTTAGGGCAAGGAAGTGTCCGCCGCGCTGCCCCAATGCGTGTTGGCGAACTTCACATGTCTTCGAAATATCTTTTTTTCTTATTCCTCGGACATGCAGGCTTCCTCACGATGTTTTCCTTCACCGCCGAGCACGTGGTATATCAGCGCTTAAAATTGCAAGTACTAACAACCGTCCTGTAACTGAACTCGGTACTGTAGTTTTCGAAGTGTAAATCGAGCATAAGGCTCTACAAATGGGACTTCCCGCCTGCCGCGGGACGGTTGGCAAGCCTAGTTGTGAACACGAACAACGCATCTACATTTTGACTCTTATTCGCTGAAGGTGTAGATGTATATGGGTGACAACATCCACTTACCATCAGGTTGACTGTATGTTTGCCATCCTTTTCTATACAATAAGGTGTTTCAATTTTATAAATTGATAATTCTTACCTGCACCATCTTGCGAAAAACAGCTTCGGAAGCTGTGACCACTTAATTGGCTTTGTCTCGGATCGTATCTGAATGTTGTACGCCTGCAGAAACGCCGCTATTACGAAGAAAATCTGCACGATCATTAGCCCGTTGTATATTAGGTGAAAATGGAATGTCTCGTACGTCTGTAAAGTACAGAATTCTTATACCACTTGATTGTTTTATTTCATATCTTTTGTTATTGTATATTGTATACAAATGTTACTAGAATAACTTCGTTCAGAACCGGTTCGGATGATTTTTTTGTTTGCATTTAGCAAAAAGGTTATAGTTTAAGGATAGCCTTGGTTCTTAAGAAATATTAAAGAATTAAAGCCTCAACTAAAAATAACTCTAATCAACCGATTCAATATAAATAAAATGAAAACATTATTAGTGTAGTCGAAGTCAATTAAATACACATTACTAATTATCAACTCAAAAACTACTAATCAGATATTGATTGATTGGATGAATTTATATGGGACCACATGAGAAACATCAGCTTATTTATTATCGAAATCGGTTAACCTAGAAGAAAGTTTTGAGGTAACACACATAAAAAATACAGTTGATTTGAGTACCTCCATCTTTTTTAAGTTGGTTAAAATCACATACAAAATTGAGAACTCTTCAATTTTTGAAGTCGTTTAACAACTAATAAGAATTTTTATTTACCTTTTCGAAGTCATGAGGCGAGTCGATAAAGCCCATCGAATTAATAAGTATGACGTGAGCTATTATCATAAGGCAAGTCGTAATAGATCTGGAAAAAAAATTCAAAATTTAGTACTTACCTCATTCAAATATAATTAGCAAGCAGATACGTGAGATCACGATATATTTAACGTTAGTATTTATTAAATATATAACGATATAAAAGGAGAATACTCAGATAATATTAGTAAAAGGAAAAAAGAAAATATATATTGGTATAGTGGTTTGTGCGTACCAAAACATAGACTACAGTTGTAAGAGTAATAAAAGATAAAACAAAAACTACATTATAATATGAAAAAGTTATTTTTTTTCTTTTTTCAACTGCTTTTTTAAGTCTACCACCTTTCGAGATCGCGCCAGCTCGATAGGATACCAAAAATTACCAGCAGCTTGCCTTAGACGGGCCCTGTATCAAAATTTGTTGGGGAGCCCAAATGAAAGGCCCAAAACCGCTCGCATTGAATTAAAATAATTATATATTGATTATAAGTTAATAATAACTATTAACGCTCCTAGGAACTAAGCTAGCCAAACAATTCAAACCAAATATACACTTTTCTTGTCTTGTTCGGCGAACTTAATAGGTCGGGGGAAAAGTTGAGTCGTATTTTATATGCACATTTTATTTTCAAAAAATTATTAGATTTAATTATAACACGTATATGTGCCACTTTGTTCGACAACTTGTTGATATCTTGTAGGTAGTGACATAATCCCGTTGCTGTAGAAATTTTGGGATTTTTGATAAAAAAAGCGACAAGTAGTTTTGACAGTCCTCTCTTGATGTTAACCTAACACTACCCAAAGAATTCTGAAGAGACCGGAACAGGTGGAAATCTGAGAGTGCAAGGTCAGGACTATATGGTGAATGCATTTCCCAACCAAGCTCTCTCAATTTTCGCTGAGTGGCTGAAGATGTATGTAAAGTAAAAAAAAGTAAAGTTACAGCCTATATACGTCCCACTGCTGGGCTCAGGCCTCCCCTCATTTCTGAGAGGGTTTAGGGCAAGGAAGTGTCCGCCGCGCTGCCCAAATGCGTGTTGACGAACTTCACATGTCTTCGAAATATTTTTTTCTTATTCCTCAGACATGCAGGTTTCCTCACGATGTTTTCCTTCACCGCCGAGCACGTGGTAAATCAGCACTTAAAATTGCAATTAACAATTTCATTGGTGCCGGCGGGGATCGAACCCCGGTTTGTTCCGTGATCGAACCGAAGAGCCGTGGTAGCTCAGTGGTTAACGCTCGCTGTAAATATAACAGAACGCGAGTAACCCGGGTTCGACCCCACCAATGAAGATGTATGTGATCTGGCGTTATTCGTATACATATATACGTCCAGGAGAAAGACCACTCCTTTTCTGTTGATTAATTCCGGTAGTTTTTTATCAAATTCTTACTTGAGTTTTACTAGTTGTTGGCAGTAAAGATACGAATCGATGTTTTTGCCCAGCTGTAAAAGCTCATAGTAAACGATGCCCTTCTAATCCCACCATACACACAGCATCACCTTATTGCGTGTTAATCCGGGTTTCGTTACAATCTGTGGACTTGACTACCCATTGACTATGATCCTTTTCGCACGATCTTGTCATAGGTAATCCACTCTCGTCACCAGTGGTGAATTTCTTTGCAAAAATGGTCCAGTTTTATTACGTTTCGATAAATAATCGCAAATGAGTACACGATTCCTTAGGTTTCTTTCAGTGAGCTCGTGTGATACCTGAATATCGAGTATTTTTGTGTGTAGGCAGATTTTTCAAATGGCTCAAAACTGTTTCTCGGTCAATCTGCAATTCTTCGGCTATATCGTAACTACTAATATGCCGATCTTGCTCCACATTTTCAAAAATTGTATCGACTTTAATCGTATGAAGGCGACCAGAGCGAGTTGCATTTTTGACATCAAAGTTCCCGGCCTGAAAACGCTTGAACCAACTTTGTGCTACTCTTATTGACTGTATTAGGTCCATAAGATCACAAATTTTTTTCGCAGCTTGAGTCGCATTTTCCCTTTTTTGTAATAAAACTTCAGATGTATCGAATTTCTTCGTTAGATTCACTTATTTTGGCAGACAGAAAGACAATTGAAAAATGGCGAGAAAGTGTTGTTTACTCTTTCTTTTTCTTAATATCCAATATGTATTAAATATTAAAACCATCCAGATACAAACAGTACAATCAAAGAGATTTTTCTTTAATTTTACACAAACAAAATACGAAGAAACTTTTTCCCCGACCTTTATTAAATCATTCCTGAAGCTGAAAACGATTGCAATTTTTTCTAAATTATATTCCTCTATAGGCAATGATGACAAGTCTGATTCCTTTCCTGTCTCCTAGAGGTACTTAGATAATTTTTATCAGTTTTTATCTTAAAAAACTTCTATCAGCTGTTGTAGTTGTAACCGGAAGGGTATATAGAATAATATGCTGTTATTACCTCGGGAAAACTGGATGCTAGGCTATTGAATTTTATCAGCAATAATGCTATGAGTTCCTTAATGAAATGAATTTTCTTAATTTCATATTATAAGCATGTTTTTAAAGTAATTAGTTGTTGAGAAAATCGGAAGAAAAATAATATATATGAATTTCTATTATCCACCCCGTCTAGGGAACTATTATTCTAGGCAACTATTTATTTAGCCTTTGGAATAGAGGTATAATATCCTAGTTTAAAGGCTAATGACCACTGTAAATTTTGTGCATATAATATGTTTATCAATAAAGATAATTATTTATTTAGTTACATTATCATAATTTTCAGTTATCGAGCTGTATCGAAAAACTACAGAAAATAGGTCAATTTCTGACTGGTCTTCAAACACGCTGGGCACTATTTGATGATATGATTTTTCTCTCGGCAAATGGATAACATTTTACGAATTTTTGCTTACACAAGTTCGGGGCCCCTGTAAACCGGGGGCCTCGTATCATTGATAGGGCTGATACGACGGTAGCTACGCCCTGACCCATACTGCACAGATGGGTTAGTGGCGCAGAGCTGAAACTCTCACTTTGGTTATGCTGCTTCACATTATATATTTATGAACATTTAGTTCAGAATTCCAGTATAATTACAGATTGTGAGGCATCTTACATATAAGTCCTCTGAGGTACAACGCATCTGTAGCCTTCTTTACTTGAAGTTTGCTGCAGGTGTCTATTGACTTCAGTAGTCATTTGCCATCAGCATTTGTCCCTTCAGTTTTAAAAGAGAAGCTAGCAGTCAGTCTTAAATTAAGTAGCTCCTGAATTTCTTATGCAGGAAATCAAGAGGTGTATTGTCACCCCTGAGGCCTAAGATGAAATGTATTACAGTCAAAATAAATAGCCTTAAAAACGACACACTACAAGTAATAAGGGTGCTAACAACTATGAACTAATAGCAAGGAAAAAGACTCTACCACCTAAAGACTTCTTCTTCGTCCTCCTCAGCACTTAAAGGTTCACCGCTAGACATAGGCCTTCCTCGTAGCAGGAAGGTTTTTTTTTACTTATAATAATAATATATAATGAGCCAGTGCTCGACCACAATCTCACCTGGTGGTAAGTGGTAATACATTACCACTTAGCACCAGCCGTCTGATGGTATAACTATAGAACAGAAGGGGAGGAATTAAGTCATGCAATTCCTGTTCACAATCACCATGTTTGAAACACGTTCCATGACATATGTGCAGTTTGAGTTTAAATTCAAGATCGTTTTTGAGTAAAAGTTTTAGGAGAATATACAAGCCTCCTCGATTGTCTGAATTACATCCTTAACCTAAACAAGTTATTCATTGAAACTGACCTTAAGCCGTTCAATCCTTTTAGTCTCTCATATCTTTGGTCAAAAATCTTATAATTTACTAATTCCCGATAATTTTTACGCAGTGAGAAATTGAACAAAAACTTGTTTTCTGAAAACCAACATTTATCATTTATCTTTATTTAACTTTATTTCATTTTAATTTATTACTAGGAATTATTATATAAAAATTACCTTGCATGGCATTATCATGTGCATCTGTACTACAGTAAAACACATCATAAAAAGTTCCTAAAACTACTAATAATATCAATATTGCGAACACTCCTGCTACAGTCCAATCATTGATATCTACGTCTGTTTGTTCATTATGTTTATCGCAATAGTATATATTTGATAGTTTTGCTTCTATTTTATATTCTTTCTGAATGGAATCATTGAGACAGGCCCCAAGGACTTCATTTAGGTCCTCATATTTTACTAAAGTTTTATTCGCTGAAAACTGTCTACATGTTCTTGTTACACACACTCCTCTTTCAAGGTATGTGTAATTGTAATGTTTCGACGTGTGTGCTGAATATTCCTGAAAAAAAAATGTAAATACAATCAAATTAAATCGCTTTATTTAATGTGTTATCAAAATTTACTTCGATATGCAACTACGTTTAATATTCTAGCCAGGGTGTCGGGATGGTTGATAGTACACAACTATGTGATTCCCTATAAATCTTCTACCTCATACTTGTTTGCGGATGCAATAGACAGCGATTTTTCCTTACTCCTTCCTTAAAGGCGAATACGATTTCTTTGGTGTCACGAATGTTCATGCGTTGGTGATCAATCACCATCAGGTGAGCGATGCCTTGCACCCCTTTCTCTTTAAAAAAATTGGTTGACCCTGCAGGCCATCCCTGAATCCTCCCGCTATCTTCAAATGCAAATCGCTCCATATTCTACCTATTATGAAGTTTTCGAGCAATTTTTGGAAATTAAAATTAATTAATTACACTTTTAAAAAAAATTGAAATTGATTTGACGGAAATTTTTCAAGTTATTTTGTAAAAACAGTTTTTCGAGATTTCTTTCGATAACGATATCTCTTGAAAGAATCAACCGATTTTGTTGTGTGGGTTTTTGAGTAAAAGAGCTGATTAAATTATATAATTGATTAAAACAAGTATAATTTCAACAAAACCACTTTTTCAAAATTAAAAATTGGTTGACCCTGCAGGCCATCCCTGGAACTTCCCGCTAATTTTAAATGCAAAGCGCTCCATATTTTACCAAATTATATTGCGAAATCTCGAAGTTATGTTAAAAAAACGTTTTTATCAAATTTCATATCCTTCGATATCTCACGAACGAATGAACCGATTTTTATTTTCCAACGGCATTAGGCGTCATTTTACAAGATTAAGATCTGATTAGTTTTTGAAATCGATCGGTAAAGCCACATAAAATTTATTCCAAAAAAACAGTTTTTCAAAATTTTTATTTTTGAGATTTCGTAAAATCTACTCGTTCGAATCAGTCCATATTATCACAAATTATTCTATATGAGTCTTTATACCCCCCGCGGGCCCACCCACACACAACACCCGCCCCCCGCCCACGCACGCGCGCTCGCACACGCACGCACGCACGCACGCACGCACGCAACGCACGCACGCACGCACGCCGCAACCACGCACACGCACACGCACACGCACACGCACACGCCCAAGCACACGCACACGCACACGCACACGCTCACGCACACGCACACGCACACCCCACGCACACGCACACGCACACGCACACGCACACACACACGCACACGCACACGCACACGCACACGCACACACACACACACACACACACACACACACACACACACACACACACATACATACATACATACATACATACATACATCCGTACGGACGTCCACGTTAAATTAGTTAAAATAGTTTCCTGGAATCTTAAAACGTCGAGATCTGTAGAAAACTCGTTTTCGAAAATCGGGGTGAAACCAATAACTTTCCTATTTTTGAAAATTTTCAAACTGACTGACTCTGATGAGAACTCTATTTTCAAAAACTGGAGTGAAAACAATAACTTCCCGATTCTACTAATGAAAAATTTCAAAATTTTCGAACTGACTGACTGATGAGAACTCTATTTTCAAAAACTGGAGTGAAAACAATAACTTCCCGATTTTCTTTATTTTTTGATTAATCATTAATGTGAATTTGATTAATAATTAACTTTCATAGTCGTTATATTTTTAATAACCGACCTTTAATGAAATTCATATTAAGGATATATTAGCAAACATTGTTCAAAAATTATCGTCTTTAATCAAAAAATAGGTAAAACAAGTTCGAAGTACGAACTAGATAATATGTAAAATATAAGAGATGTTAATTCTCGACAACATACAACTAGCACAATAAATTACTTCTATTCTATTCTAAAATATTAAAGGTACTGACCTTAATTAATTTCATAAGCTCGTTGTTTGATTCCGCATGCAAATCCAGCTTTACCACACAGTATAATCCATTAACATCGTTCAGACATGTGTCGTAACGATCCAGACCGAATATGGGTGGCATACGTTCGTACTCAGAGTCTTAAACAAAAAAGTGACATTCGAAGATATTATTTTATGTATAAAATGAAGTAATTTCCTATAAACGTATCACTATTAGACACAGGTTTTCTCTCATCACTAATAAGTTAAGACGGAAGAAGTATTTTAACTAATGTGTTGGCGGGCTTCAAATGTCTACGAAAGAAAAATTATTTTAAGGATGTCATAAACTCTCTATTGTGAAAAGTCAGAATGTGTCAAAAAGACACGTACGACAATTCACAATGCTGTATTAGTCCCTACTTTAACATATGGTAGTGAAAGTTGGGTGTGGCAGAAGAAGCACGAGAGTAGAATAAATGCAGTAGAAATGCGGTCGGTAAGGAGTATGTTAGGGCTGAATCTGAATGACAGGGTGAGAAAGTGTGTAATAAGAGAAGACGGTAGTTTGCAAGATGATGTTGGGACCAGGATTAAGAAAGGAAAGCTTCGGTGGTTTGGTCATATAGAAAGAATAAATGAGGAAAGAGTGCCAAAGCAAATTTATGTCGCAAAAGTGATCGGTAGTCGGAAAGAGACATCCCGGGCGAAAGTTTATCGACCAAATTAGCAATATATTGTATTGAAAATGGGCCAAATTAAGTGTACCCTTAACCGACGAGCATGTCTGCGTAGGTATATGGGGATGTGGTTGAAGGGAGGCTTGTTTTATTTATAATAATACAAGACGATTTATTTTATTTCGTTAAAATATAGCCTAAATCCCTCCAAGCATTGCCCCTTATCTATTCATAAAGTTTCCTCACAATCGTTCAGCCATTTGTAATCTTTAATACTTTTCAAACGAACAAATTATATGTTTTTTTAAGCAAACTTGCAGTCCATCTAGAGCGATTTACGCTTTGACAAATGCAGTAGCGAGTTAACTTGAGAACCTGGCGAGTTGAACAGGAAATCTCTTTTAAACAGCATTCAGTGAATTAAGTACGCCGACCGGTCTGTCGTCTCCCGTCGCCCGCTATCTATATTCACCGTGACGAGCGAGTTTAGTTCAGTGCATAAGTTGAAAGCACGCAAAGTATTCGCGTCCGAACTTCAAAATATAAAATTGAACTTCTTTTAAATTAAACTCGCCATGAATATATTTGAACGCTATTGCCCACTTAACTGTTTACTGGTAAGTGGCTACTGCAGCTGTACCTGCAGGTGCAGTTAGCTACAGAGGCGTTGTCAGCTATATGGGCTAAAATAGAATTCCCCAAAGCCTGTAAACAAATTGGCTCGCTGTACCCTTTAGACCTGAACACAGCAGTGTACGCACCGGAATTTGGCGCCAGAAACAGTTAAGAGGGTAGTTCCAGACGGAAAGGATATCCTACCTAGTACAAACAACAAACCATTTAAATGATAAATCACTCCATTACAATTGTTTATCATGAGAAATAAACAACACAGTTCCCACAGCCACATTTTGACCACGTTTATCAAAGCGCAAAGTAATGGAAGTCCTAAGCGAAAGATTACTACCAAATGACTGAAAAATGCACTGTTCTTTTATATAACGCAATTTCCTATCATGTTTAATTTACGATCCTTGAAGTTACTGTTTTTACATTTTACTTCAATAAATAAAATGATGCAAAATAAAAACGACTCTGTCGAACAGAGTAACCGACGGACTGTTGCCATGAATAAATTGTCCGTTGAAGAAAATTCTTTGTTCTTTTTTATTTCACGAAATTTCGTATACATCTTTAAGATTAATCATTTTTATCATAGGCAATTTATTTTTGTTAAAAAAAAGCTTTGAAGGCTGCAAGGAAATAGAAACTGTCCTGTTTAGTTAAATTTTAAAATTGTGAATTAAAAAAAACTAACTGCTATTTAATTTTTTAGATACTTCAGATACTTTAAGCTTTTCCTGCAGGTTTGCTTACTTGAATTTGTGTCAACAATATCAATTTAAATAACTAACTTATTTTCTAAATGTTCGAAAATCAAAAATAAGTTTGCTCGCTCGTGAGCCACATTCGTTCATTTGTTACAGCCTATTAAAAATCGCTTACTTTGCATAAGCCTCCCCCATAGATTGCCTCATTACGCCCCCTGTAAGAGAATCTGCTACCTCACATGTCTATTAGTGTGAATAACAGCTTTTAACAACCCCACTGGACTTTTAATAAGCTTCAATTAATAAATGTACGAAAGAGTTTTAATATTAAGGACTATATTGACACCCTAAAAAAATCTCATAAAACTAACTTAATTGAACTAATTAACTAATTAACTTTAAATTTGAAAATTCAAACTTTTGACCTATCGCTTATAGTATTTGTAATAATTTCAACTTATATTTGTATGTTTGATAAATTATATATAATTCCAATCCAGGGTTCGAAACGAATCCGGTATCAGGCGAAAATCAGTTAGTGAATTTTTCTGTCAAGGAATTTTCAGTAGCTGCCCGAAGTTAGAAAATTGGCGGTGTTTCACCCCTGTGCCTCTCAAAGTACGATAAGCCGTTCGACCTGCATCTAATCTTTCCCTAATCACGTCGGATTACCGTCCCATCGGACTGTGAGTGTGAGGAAATAGAGAGTGCACCTGTGCTTGCGCATACACTCTGTGTTCATAATCCTGTCCGACGCAAAGGGGTATTCTACGTTGAGACTATCCGCTGTGACCGTGTGGAAGACATTATACCTCTAATTATCTACTTAAACCATAGAATACTATAATACATACAGAATAAAACGGGGGAGTGGACGGAACCCATGAAGCCACTAACATGTCGCTAACACGTCAATTCACACGTATAAATCTCAACACAATCAATCGTTTCCAAATTTCGTGTCAAGCGTCGCTGCATGCAACTTATTTGAAAAACGGCAAATTGTGAAATAATTACGTATCGAAAGAACAGCGGGAAATGGAATTTAAATAAAGGAGACATATTCTACAACCAGTAAGTCGAAAGTATTTATATTTTGAAATATTAGAAACAAAAATAAAGAAACATTTATGTGTCAAAAACATTAATCAAAAGGTCTAAAATGTGTTTGTAGTAGTGATAACTGATAATACGACGTAATTGCTTGTATGTGTGCTCTTGGCTACGCCAATCCTCCTACAAAGTAAGGTTGACAGCCTATTTTGTATTATAGTATTCTATGACTAAAACTCTCCCAGACGAATTTATATTAGATATATACCGAGGTGATTTTATGAGTTTGATGATTTTTTTTATTATCGTCAGTTAAATAATCATATCATAAAATCTCGTGCCTGTCACCCAGTGGGATAAGAAGAGTGTTATTTTTCAGAGTTCAAAGGTTCAGAGGTTATTTTTCAGAGTTTCCAAATTTTATTAACATCATTTGAGTATGTTTATATTATTTAAGTTCAAATATATAAATAATAGTATACCGTTATTGCAGTTTTTGAAAATACGAATATGTAAGACTTGAAAATTATTTATGGGCAACATCAACGCGTACGCGCGCTCCTTTGTGAGCGACAACTTCGTGTTCACATTTGTGCCGACAGAACAGATAATTTGCCGACTCAGCGACGACATTGTGATATTCCGTACTACATTCCGCTCAAATATTTAAAAAAATTACTTATATAATAGAAAACTGACTTCAAAAACACTAATAACATTATAATAATTTAACATTCTGAAGTCGGGGCTATAATTTAAAAAAAATTATCTTCGCCTTTACGGCCAACCGTGTTAAACACAACACGTCGTGTTGAGTATTACAAATATTAATCATATTTCAATGCAATCTATGTCTTTTTTATCTTAATTAAATTAAATAATATAATTCACGTATTTATAGTTAATGACATTAGATACGTAATATTAATAGCAGTAGATAAGATTTAATATTATAATGATAATCATTATTCCACACAACTAGGCAATGCATTGCTTAGTTCGTCGTTGGAGGCCATGGCCTTTCGCTTAAGTGCTTGAATAAACTATTAATTGTAGACAACGTAAAATATAGAAACTACTAAAACAACAAAAAAAAATTATTTTTCAAATTTCGTTATCACATATTGTTAGTTCGTGGTTTGTTCTTGATTGTTCTCTATCAATAATTGTTTGTTCGTCAATAATTTATTTATAAAAAATTATTTAAGTAAATCTGCCTTATAGTTAGCCTCCTAGTCCACTTTATAATTTCTTTCGTTATCATTGGCTATTTTATATTCATTAATGTTTGTCCTTTGATAAATTACGTTTGTTCTATCAAACATATATCTATTTTTGGTTTAATTAACCATTTTTATTTAGCTACATAATTATACAGACGTAGTCAACGTAGGGTTAAAATGTGTAAGTTGAAAGAACTTCCCATTCATTTGAACTTAAAACTTCAAAATGATGGTGGATCCGAAACTAATCTACGATATCGGTATGTTTATTGCTCCCTACCACATTTGTATTGTATTATATCGGTATAGTTGATTCATTACACATTTATCCATTTTTAGATTATCTGGAGTAGCAGCTTATGTTACGGGTCATTATTTCGCTTATTGCCGATTTGAAAAATAAAAAATTTTGGGGGGGCTAACTTCAGTGAGCGCGATCTTTGCAGGGGTGGTTTCTGGATCTCTCCAACAGCGCCACCTACCGAGTCCAATTGTGTTTTGAAACTATCCAGGGACCCACTCAAATACACAAAAAAATTCATCATAATCATGCGAGCCGTTTTCAAGTTTTTGCGAGACTAACAGAAAGCAAATGATTCTACCATGATCACGCCTTTTTTAAACGTAACACCCACACTAATATTTTCTCCTGTATCGTGGGTGCAGTTTACATACAAGTTCACAAGGAACAATTATATTTAGTCTCGGAACAATTATTTGTAGGTCATACAAATACTTGTTTCGTGCGGGATTCGACCCCGCGGCCCTCAATTCATTTCATTCGCGGCGCTGCAATTCATCGCTAAGCCGCTGCGCCACCGAACTGTAGTTCGCATTGGCCCAGCGCAACGGACTAATTGCTCTACATGAGTTAAGTAAAGTTACACAGGCACAGGTTTTTCCTTATTTTGAGGGCATTTAGACTAAGGAAGTAAACTGCAAGCATGCGTGTTGATGGACTTCGCGTGTTGATAAACGTGGTAGAGCCATGCTACAACAAGAACCACGCTCTCACAGAATACTGCGTTAAGTATTGTTGTATCATCATTATCATCATCATCATCATTACAGCCCTTCACAAGTCCACTGCTGAACATAGGCCTCCCCTAAGTAATGCCAAAAAGCACGGTCCTGATCCACCTGCATCTATCGACTTCCTGCATATCTTCCCAGGTTGTCACTCCATCTAGTGGGGGGTCACCCTACACTATGCCTACCGGTACAAGGCTGACACTCGAGAACCTTTCGTCGCCATCGGTTATCGGTTCTTCGAGCTATATGGGCGGCCCATTGCCACTTCAGCTTACTAATCCGTTGGGCTATGTCGGTCACTCTGGTTTTACTGCGGATATCCTCATTTCTGAGTCTATCACGCAGAGAAACTCTGAGCATAGCCCTCTCTCAGTTTGGCGAAATTATAAAATTATGTAATGTTTTTTCTGTAAATGTCAATAAATAAATAAAAATAAATAAATAAAAAATAGCTCGCTGAGCGACCTTGAGCGTCCTCATACGGCCAGCAGTGAAGGACCTGGTCTCAGATCCGTAAGTCATCACTGGCAACACGCCCTGGTTGTACAATCGAGTTTTCAGAGATTGAGGTATACGTGACGAGAAGATGTGTCGTAATTTACCGAACGCTGCCCAGCCGAGTTGAATCCGTCGACTGACTTCTCGGTCGAAGTTAGACTTACCTAGTCGGATTATTTGTCCCAGGTAAACGTACTCGTCAACAACTTCGAGCATAGTGCTCCCAACAATCACCGGCATAGGTGTCACATTTGAACATGATCTTTGTTTTGTCCATGTTCATCTTAAGACCTATCCGTTGGGAGACACCATTGAGGTCATTGAGCATAGTGCTTAGCACCTCCAGCGATTCTGCCATAAGGACTATATCGTCGGCAAATCGAAGGTGAGTGATGTACTCGCCATTGATGTTAAAACCGTATCCTTTTCAATCCAGTAGCTTGAAAACGTCTTCCAATGCAGCGGTGAAGAGTTTCGGGGACATAACGTCACCCTGTATTACACCTCTCTGCAGTTGGATAGGTTTCGAACTCTGGTTCTGTACTCGGATAGCGATCCTAGCCCTACTGTACAAACCCTTCAGCACTTCGATATACCGACAGTCAACTTGGCACCGCTGAAGAGACGGTAGCACCGCCCAAATTTCGACGGAATCACAGGCTTTCTCATAGTCCACATACGCTAGGCAAAGTGGCAGATTGTACTCTTCGGTCTTCTGTACAATCTGCCGCAGGGTACGTATGTGGTCTATGGTACTGAAGCCTTTTCGGAAA